CGCATGCGAGAGGTACGGGGTTCGATTCCCCGCACCTCCACTTTTTTATAGATTGAACATTCTCGGTTTTTGTTAGACACAAAAATATAATTACCTTAATCTTCGAAAAAATGTATTTATTTTGGACCACCAATGGGGGTGTAGCTCATATGGTAGAGCGCTCGCTTCGCATGCGAGAGGTACGGGGTTCGATTCCCCGCACCTCCACTTTTTTATAGATTGAACATTCTCGGTTTTTTTTAGACACAAAAATATAATTACCTTAATCTTCGAAAAAATGTATTTATTTTGGACCACCAATGGGGGTGTAGCTCATATGGTAGAGCGCTCGCTTTGCATGCGAGAGGTACGGGGTTCGATTCCCCGCACCTCCATTTTTTAGATTTAACATTCTCGTTTTTTGTTAGACACAAAAATATAATTACCTTAATCTTCGAAAAAATGTATTTATTTTGGACCACCAATGGGGGTGTAGCTCATATGGTAGAGCGCTCGCTTTGCATGCGAGAGGTACGGGGTTATATTCCCCGCACCTCCATTTTTTTAGATTTAACATTCTCGTTTTTTTAGACACAAAAATATAATTACCTTAATCTTCGAAAAAATGTATTTATTTTGAACCACCAATGGGGGTGTAGCTCGTATGGTAGAGTGCTCGCTTCGCATGCGAGAGGTATGGGGTTCGATTCCCCGCACCTCCACTTTTTTATAGATTGAACATTCTCGGTTTTTGTTAGACACAAAAATATAATTACCTTAATCTTCGAAAAAATGTATTTATTTTGAACCACCAATGGGGGTGTAGCTCATATGGTAGAGCGCTCGCTTCGCATGCGAGAGGTACGGGGTTCGATTCCCCGCACCTCCACTTTTTTATAGATTGAACATTCTCGGTTTTTGTTAGACACAAAAATATAATTACCTTAATCTTCGAAAAAATGTATTTATTTTGAACCACCAATGGGGGTGTAGCTCGTATGGTAGAGTGCTCGCTTCGCATGCGAGAGGTATGGGGTTCGATTCCCCGCACCTCCACTTTTTTATAGATTGAACATTCTCGGTTTTTGTTAGACACAAAAATATAATTACCTTAATCTTCGAAAAAATGTATTTATTTTGAACCACCAATGGGGGTGTAGCTCGTATGGTAGAGTGCTCGCTTCGCATGCGAGAGGTATGGGGTTCGATTCCCCGCACCTCCACTTTTTTATAGATTGAACATTCTCGGTTTTTGTTAGACACAAAAATATAATTACCTTAATCTTCGAAAAAATGTATTTATTTTGGACCACCAATGGGGGTGTAGCTCGTATGGTAGAGTGCTCGCTTCGCATGCGAGAGGTATGGGGTTCGATTCCCCGCACCTCCATTTTTTTAGATTTAACATTCTCGTTTTTTTTAGACACAAAAATATAATTACCTTAATCTTCGAAAAAATGTATTTATTTTGGACCACTAATGGGGGTGTAGCTCATATGGTAGAGCGCTCGCTTCGCATGCGAGAGGTACGGGGTTCGATTCCCCGCACCTCCATTTTTTTAGATTTAACATTCTCGTTTTTTTAGACACAAAAATATAATTACCTTAATCTTCGAAAAAATGTATTTATTTTGGACCACCATTGGGGGTGTAGCTCATATGGTAGAGCGCTCGCTTAGCATGCGAGAGGTACGGGGTTATATTCCCCGCACCTCCATTTTTTTAGATTTAACATTCTCGTTTTTTTAGACACAAAAATATAATTACCTTAATCTTCGAAAAAATGTATTTATTTTGGACCACCATTGGGGGTGTAGCTCATATGGTAGAGCGCTCGCTTCGCATGCGAGAGGTACGGGGTTCGATTCCCCGCACCTCCATTTTTTAGATTTAACATTCTCGTTTTTTTTAGACACAAAAATATAATTACCTTAATCTTCGAAAAAATGTATTTATTTTGGACCACCAATGGGGGTGTAGCTCATATGGTAGAGCGCTCGCTTCGCATGCGAGAGGTACGGGGTTCGATTCCCCGCACCTCCATTTTTTAGATTTAACATTCTCGTTTTTTTTAGACACAAAAATATAATTACCTTAATCTTCGAAAAAATGTATTTATTTTGGACCACCAATGGGGGTGTAGCTCATATGGTAGAGCGCTCGCTTCGCATGCGAGAGGTACGGGGTTCGATTCCCCGCACCTCCATTTTTTTAGATTTAACATTCTCGTTTTTTTAGACACAAAAATATAATTACCTTAATCTTCGAAAAAATGTATTTATTTTGGACCACCAATGGGGGTGTAGCTCATATGGTAGAGCGCTCGCTTCGCATGCGAGAGGTACGGGGTTCGATTCCCCGCACCTCCATTTTTTAGATTTAACATTCTCGTTTTTTTTAGACACAAAAATATAATTACCTTAATCTTCGAAAAAATGTATTTATTTTGGACCACCAATGGGGGTGTAGCTCATATGGTAGAGCGCTCGCTTCGCATGCGAGAGGTACGGGGTTCGATTCCCCGCACCTCCATTTTTTAGATTTAACATTCTCGTTTTTTTTAGACACAAAAATATAATTACCTTAATCTTCGAAAAAATGTATTTATTTTGGACCACCAATGGGGGTGTAGCTCATATGGTAGAGCGCTCGCTTCGCATGCGAGAGGTACGGGGTTCGATTCCCCGCACCTCCATTTTTTAGATTTAACATTCTCGTTTTTTTTAGACACAAAAATATAATTACCTTAATCTTCGAAAAAATGTATTTATTTTGGACCACCAATGGGGGTGTAGCTCATATGGTAGAGCGCTCGCTTCGCATGCGAGAGGTACGGGGTTCGATTCCCCGCACCTCCATTTTTTAGATTTAACATTCTCGTTTTTTTTAGACACAAAAATATAATTACCTTAATCTTCGAAAAAATGTATTTATTTTGGACCACCAATGGGGGTGTAGCTCATATGGTAGAGCGCTCGCTTCGCATGCGAGAGGTACGGGGTTCGATTCCCCGCACCTCCATTTGTTTAGATTTAACATTCTCGTTTTTTTTAGACACAAAAATATAATTACCTTAATCTTCGAAAAAATGTATTTATTTTGGACCACTAATGGGGGTGTAGCTCATATGGTAGAGCGCTCGCTTCGCATGCGAGAGGTACGGGGTTCGATTCCCCGCACCTCCATTTTTTAGATTTAACATTCTCGTTTTTTTTAGACACAAAAATATAATTACCTTAATCTTCGAAAAAATGTATTTATTTTGGACCACCAATGGGGGTGTAGCTCATATGGTAGAGCGCTCGCTTCGCATGCGAGAGGTACGGGGTTCGATTCCCCGCACCTCCATTTTTTAGATTTAACATTCTCGTTTTTTTTAGACACAAAAATATAATTACCTTAATCTTCGAAAAAATGTATTTATTTTGGACCACCAATGGGGGTGTAGCTCATATGGTAGAGCGCTCGCTTCGCATGCGAGAGGTACGGGGTTCGATTCCCCGCACCTCCATTTTTTTAGATTTAACATTCTCGTTTTTTTTAGACACAAAAATATAATTACCTTAATCTTCGAAAAAATGTATTTATTTTGAACCACCAATGGGGGTGTAGCTCATATGGTAGAGCGCTCGCTTTGCATGCGAGAGGTACGGGGTTCGATTCCCCGCACCTCCATTTTTGTAGATTTAACATTCTCGTTTTTTTAGACACAAAAAATATAATTACCTTAATCTTCGAAAAAATGTATTTATTTTGGACCACCAATGGGGGTGTAGCTCATATGGTAGAGAGCTCGCTTCGCATGCGAGAGGTACGGGGTTCGATTCCCCGCACCTCCATTTTTTTATAGATTGAACATTCTCGGTTTTTGTTAGACACAAAAATATAATTACCTTAATCTTCGAAAAAATGTATTTATTTTGGACCACCAATGGGGGTGTAGCTCATATGGTTCGGTTTGCATGCAAGAGGCACAATGTTCAATGTTCAATGTTCAATGTGCACTTCCATTTTTTACAAGTTTCAACAATTTGGCGAGAAGGGAAATCTCGAGTAACACATTAGACTATTGTCAATTAGGAGCTGTTGTTGTTCCAAAAAAAAAAAGAGAAATAAAAGTAAATCGATCCAGAACTCAGTGTCTTCATTATAATAAACGACTCACACAATGATCGCCTCATCGAGCTATCTGTTCTTGAAACATACACTCAAGACATTAGAGGTTACATTGATCGGCTCGCTCAAGATATTAAATGTTACAATGATCGGCTCACTCAAAACTTCTCGAACTATCTGTTGTAGATATCAAGCTACCTAAGAATTAGCTCGCGGTTGAAACTGGAAAAGGATTTTAGAGAACAAAGACAATGAACCCATTATATGGGCATATCACAATCCAAAAGCACTAACGCCATTGATGACAGCCCTTAGAAACTTGGGTGCATGCATGCAATAATTGGCAATCAAAAGCACATTTACCCCACACAGACACACACAGACACAGTGAAAACAAAGAGAATCCATAGCAGAAATGGAGGAGGCCAATTGTACCAAAATCAAACAAAAAAAACCCTTCAAAAAATGGCATTTTGTCTTTGTCCATTGCCACTTTATACCCTTTGGCCCGTGACTCACTGTATCTGTCTCTGTCTCTGTCTCTGTCTCTGTCTTCTTCCAAAATAATAATCTGATTAATCAAAAGGGTAATTAAGCCACATCAATTCCTTTCCTCACAGTCAAACATCTTATTATTATATTAAATGGGGTTTGAGAGAATCGAATCATTCTTCCTTCAAAATCATTTCTTTTCTTATCTTTTTCTTCTTGCTTTATGTAAAGTACCTATAATTCTTCACAAAAGCTGCTTCCATCTGCTGAATCAAAACAATTTTTCAGACTAGATTCTCTGTTTCCTTTCTTCTTTTTATTATGAAATTCGATTTAAGATATAAAGATATTTGTAGAATATAGCTTGTATGACTATAATCAGTTAGATACTGAACGAAACAGCTCGACTGTAAATGATTGGCAGAGATAGAGTGTACATTTTGATTGATACTTTACTGTGTGCTTGCTCTACTATAGAATAGAGACTGACTCATCGGTAGAAGGATTAATACATCGAAACCTGATTGGATGGAATCCTCAATTTTCTATTCGATCTCTATGAGAGCCTTGAAGTCGGGTTAGGAGTTGGTTAGTAGTACATTTTATCTTCGGTTAATTAGTATAGAATATTTTCGTTTGTATCCCATTTAAAAAACGGTGTATCCCACTTCTCATTCATATATGAACTTTTATCATCATCACCTTCACATTCTTCATACTCTTTTGTTCTTAATCTTTCTCTCTCCTCTCTCTCTCTTTCTCTCTCTTTCTCTCTCCTCAATAAACACTTCACTACTTACTCGTTGGGCCTTGTTAATTCATTCTTCTCCCTTTGAAGAAACATTCGAATTTGTTTTTCTAGAGAATTTCATGTTCTTTCTTCATTGTCCTCTCTCTTTCTCTCTCTTGAATTGAGAAAAAGATCGAATTTTTCAGCCAAATTCCAAATGGGTATGAAGAATTTCCTCATATTTCTCCTCTTCCTTGCAAACCCATCAATCTTTCTTCACCAAACCACGAAATTTGTGGCAGCCGATCAAACCCTAATCCAGAAAACATGCAGAAACACCCTTTACTATGACCTCTGCATGTCATCCTTAAAATCCGACCCCACCAGCCTCACCGCCGACACCAAGGGTCTCGCTGCCATTATGGTCTCCATCGGTGTCTCCAACGCCACCGCCACCGCCACCTACCTCTCCACCCAGCTCCCAACCTCCGCCGGTGCCGCTGCCAACAACAACAGAACGAAGCTCTTAAGACAATGCTCCGAAAAGTATGGATTTGCAGCGGAAGCCCTTCGAGCCTCTCTGAAGGACTTGGCTGAGGAGACTTACGACTATGCTTATATGCATGTGTCTGCGGCGGCGGACTATGCCAATGTTTGTCATGATGGGTTTAAAGGGTTCCCGACGGTGGCTTATCCGGCGAAGCTTGGCCGGAGGGAAGAAGGGCTGAAGCGTATTTGCAGAGTGGTTTTGGGGATTCTGGATGCTCTTGGTTGGTGAAATGGTGATCATAATTGAATTGGGTTTTTGTTTTCGGCTTTTGCTTTTGTTGTTCTTCTTTTTAGATGGTTTGTTGATGTGTTTTTTTAAGAGATTTAATGACTCTTTTATCCTTTCAGTTATTTTACTTCTTCTAGATTGAGAACTTGTGGAACTTGAAGCTTCGAATAATTAACTTTTTATGTTTTTATGTTCTTAATTTAATAGAATGCTTTGTATGTGTGTTTATTTTTTATTTTTTAATATAATTCTATTACTTAATATATGTATCATGATCTAATACATTTTGAATGTTTGAATCTTTGTCCACCTTCTTGTATAAATAACGCTTCTTTCCCTCATTTAATGTTAATGTGAGATTTCGTGAATATCTGAATAGGACGAACCGCCCCGTGGTTTGCTTCGAAGTGTTTTGTTTGTTCTCCTTTTGTTACCCTCTTATTTCGTATCTCCAATTAATATGGGATCTCACAATTTATTTCTATCAGGGATTCGAGTGCTTTATTTCCCTTCAACCGATGTGAAATTTGTAGCACACCGCACAATGTCTGACTCTGATAACTTTCGTAACAGTTCAAGCTCATCCCGCTAACAGATATTGTCCAGTTTAGTCTGTTACATATCGCCATCAGCATCACAATTTTGAAGTATGTCTGCTAGGGAGAAGTTTCCACATTCTATAAAGAATAATTCGTTCCCCACTTCAACTCCAACGGACGTTGGATCCTCGTTAAGTTAAATTCAAAATTAGAAAGAAAAAACAAAATTGTTTTTTTTTTTTTTGCTCACCTTGACCATGGTTTCTCATTTTCTTCATCCTCCTCCAATGGAGATCGTGACCTCACTCTTTATACTCCCAGGTATAATCTTTATACCCTTTAATTTTGAGTGTTCCATTTTCAATTTCGAGTAAGTTTGATTACCTGATTGGGTTTTGATTTGGTGGAGTGTATCTTTAGGGTTTCGTTTTGGAATCAGATTCAGAAGAAATTTGTGGAAGGTTTGATGGGTTGAGATTCATTAGGTCTTTGGTAGCTACTCATAGATAATACAGACTTTGAGACAGCTGCCTTGCGGTACCAGAAGTGTTGCTCTATCTGCAGCTCTGGGTTTAACACGAGGTGACTTTCTCATAACCCTATTCAAAACAAAGGGAGGAAAACCCTAAATCAATGCTCATATAAATATATTATCAAACCTCCATTATAACTTAAACTCTCATTCTCAATATCTAATAGCCCAAACCTATCGGATGTTGTCAACTTTAACCGGTTACATATAATCGTCAGCTTCACGATTTTAAAAATATGAATTTTGAGATTTTGAAAAGTAAAAGAAGTCAAGTGGACCAAAACCGAAAGTATATTACCAAAATAGGAAGCTATCAAAGTAGATATATCAAAACAAAATTCCAATTAAATTACTTTTATCATTAACTAATAAACATATACATATTTATATTGTATCAACCTAATTTTGAATTATAAGCTATGTTGAGCATTGAGTTATCCTAGTTTCTTACCTGCAAGTCCAGCCAAGTTGCAAGCTGTGCCAATGGGTCTTGTCAATTCATGTGACCTTTGTGACACAACCCAACAAATCATCTGGTCCAACACACTTGGGCCTACATATAACCTCATCGTCATGTCAACTCAAACTCTTTTATTCCTGTTGGGTTCACAAGTTTGCAAGTTAACACAAATTTTTAGTTTTCAGTACGAATCTATTAGACAAAATTGATAGAAGTCATTGGGAAGCATGCAATCCAAAACAAAAAGTGAAAACTGAATAATAATATCATACAACTCTTCCCAATATCATTAGAATATTCACCAGGAAAATAAAATCAAGGATGATACACCACTCGTTTAAAAAGTTATCATTTTGATTTTCGATTATATTAGTGACCAACATTTGATCCAGCACTGCAACAAAATGCATTTAAAAATTTAGCAAAATCTGTCACGACGAAGATAATATACAGTAGGTAATGTACCTCTCTCTTGAATCAATAACCATGGGTGTAATGCTCCTTTTGGCTGGCTTGCTGGCAACAGAGTGGCTTGAAGAGCTTATGTACCTGTGTTTACTTGTTTTCTTTTCCATTTCATGTCCTTTCCTCTCAGCTATTTTTTCAACCACTGTGTTATCTGGTTTTTCAACGCTTTTATTTTCTTTTTGTTTCACTTCTGCTTCTGCTTTCCTATTTTGATCCTCGTTTATAATCACTGCATCTGTTGAACTTGTATTCTGATTAGTCATTGTGCATGTTCTATCATCTATATCATTTAGAAATAAACTATGAAGAACAAATTATTGAAAGATGAAAGACAAACAACTACTTCGAGAAAACATGACAGGAAATGAGCAAATGTAAATCTGACCTGATAATATGAAAAGAGCATCATTTTATTGAGTCACCAAAACAAGTTGAAATAAAAAATTTTAAAAAATTTATAAGCCTTGCAATAACGTCTCCAGGACCTTCCAAGTCTGGCCACTTTCCAAATGGTGCAATTTCCATATGATCAGCTCACCTCCTGCAGGAAATGAAAACTAAGATGAACTTAAATCTCCCAGGATTTAGTTACTGGCTCAAACATGTACTTAAAAACAAACATGTACTTAAAAACAAACATCTGCAATCAGCAGAAGTACTACCATCATCGAAGAGATTTTAGGGAAAAAGAGCAGCTTCATGGAATTCTCTTTGATCTTGTTATTTACCATTGCTATTTCTTGATGTGACTTGTCAATCTATTTGCTTCTTATACCTGTGTCTCCCTTTTAACCAACTTGAAAAGTGTTTTGTAATCATCATGGATTTACCTTCCTTTTGTGAATTTCATACATCAATGAAATTGTTTTTTAATAACAAAAAAATTCCCCAAAGTAAGGGTGATTAATTTTACATGCTCTTACATGAAAGAAGGTCCTCCTTTTACAGAATTCACAAATTTCAAATGTTGGAAAGTAGAGCTCTATATGCTACAAAGTTAAATAGACTTCTTAGAATAACATCAGATCATTTTTCAACTTTCCTCCTACTCGAGAATTTTAAATAGTGATCTACTCCTTCTAGATTTTAAAAAGCATATGTGAGATCCCACATCAGTTGGGGAGGAGAACGAACCATTCTTTATACGAATGTGAAAACCTCTCACTAGTACACGCATTTTAAAAACCTTGAGGGGAAGCTCGAAAGGAAAAATCCAAAGAGGACAATATCTACCAGCGGTGGACTTAGGCTGTTACAACATGGCTGGACCCCCAACTTTCTTCAAAGCTGTACAACCTGGTGGAATGAGCTCTGTCTCGGGTTGGCCAGGTTTTGCATTTGTAACAAAAATGACGTCTTAAAGATGAAGCTTAAAGGGTGTGATACAGATCAGATCTCTTTTCGATTCTCCTCACACTTCGAATTTTAAAAGGCAATCTACTCCTTTTAGATTTGAAAACTTGTGGGCGTTACAATTTCAAAAGGCGTGGGCATCATCAAAGTGTGGTGGATATTAGCACCGCTGTTACCAAAAATGCAGATCCTAAATTGCGGTGAAATGAAATTATAGCTTAATAATGATACAAAATATTGACCAAAGAAAGTACCAAAATTATTACCAGAAAATTCACCAAATGTACTCAGCTTCATAACACTAAACCTAATGTTGAGAGATCCAGAAATATTTTTACATACCAGAATGTGAGAAGCGAAGGCTATCTATTAACAGCAGAACCAGGGGCTTTATTCTGTCCTTCCACAGAATTCAATAATCAAGAGGAACAGTTAGCCCATGGCTAAATATTCAACCAACCACTCAAATCTAAATACTCAGAACATGTCCCTTGAAAGCCTAAGTTGGAAACAACTGAAAATTGAAGATGGCTAACCTAATTTCATAAAAAAATCAAAATCAGAAGCGACGAGGGAAACAGAATGCAGACCTTGATAACGAAATCAGCCCCGCCGGTTGCAAGGAGAGATGAAAGTGGATGAAGGTCTAGGGTGAGCACTGACTTTGAGTCGAGCCAGTTGATTTGAAGCGTTCCACTCTTTATTTCTTCGTCCTGCTCCGAATTTTGAACAATCAAGTGAGTAATCGCAGGAGAAATTTTAGGGCTAAATTGGAGAAGGAAAGAGGAACCGGAAGCTGATGAAATTTGGCGCCCCTTGCAATGGGGGGTGTCGAAATGCGATGGTCGCTCCCAATTTGGCGCGTTTTTTGGATAGCCTTAGTTCGAATTAAACGGTAGAGCGAGGAATGATCGATGGTTATTGACACGTAGTTAAGATATGTAGCACAAATTAAAGATATGAAACAAGTAGCGGGCAAATCAAGTGTTGGTTTAATAACATAGACGGATGGATTAGGTATGAAAATGCATCGAAAAATAGTTGTTCGATTGTACCAATTGATTCATCACAATTATTTTGAAGACATTTCAGTTCCAAAATCAACGTTTTTTCTATATACCAAAATTCATGTGAAATCATTGAATAAGACATCACCAAAGTTGGTGATTGAGTATCATTTGATATGAACGTCATGTCTCATATATAACTTAAGAATATAATGATTGAGTATGATCATAATCATGATGCATATACTCATATATATGGGCACTCGGATGATCGCCCTATCTATAATCTTTCATGTTCTTGTGCTTCGTAGTTACAGACATGGATGCAAAAAACATAGTAATAATCATGTCTTTAAAATTAATATTTGTCATTATATAGTAATAATTTCTATAGAGTTCATATGTATAGTTGGTTCTCCATTTGGTCGCTAATAATAGATATTGATTAACTAAATATTCTCGATGGTAAGAGTTTTATAAGTATTTTAGTAATCGACTCTTGCACGATCGGTCATGACTTATGTTATAGATGTACAATCTGTGTTGTGTTCGATAAGGGAGATTATATTAGAAGAAACTATTCAAAAATACTAAAAAACATGTCTTGTTTTAACCACTCCATTAACCTAAGCATATCTCATATTTACTTCTCAGTTTAGAATTTTTGTAACAGTCCAAACCCACCACTAATAGATATTGTCTGCTATGTAGTCGTCAGTCTCACGATTTTTTAAAACGTGTCTGCTACGGAGAGGTTTCCACACCCTTATAAGAAATATTTTGTTCCCCTCTTTAATCAACGTGAGATCTCACAATCCACCTCCCTTGGAAACCTAGTGTCCTCACAATATTTCGTTCCCTCTTTAATCGATGTGAGATCTCACAATCCACCTCCCTTAGAAGCCCAGCGTCCTTGCTGGCACACTATCCGATGTCTGACTTTAATAACATTTGTAATAGTCTAAATTCTATTTCGTTCCCTCTTTAATCGATGTGAGATCTCACAATCCACCTCCCTTAGAAGCCCAGCGTCCTTGCTGGCACACTATCCGATGTCTGACTTTAATAACATTTGTACTAGTCTAAATTCACCGCTAGCAAATATTATCCGATCCATCTTCCTTGGAAGCCCAGCATCCTTGCTGGCACACCGTCCGATGTCTGACTTTGATAACATTTGTAATAGTCTAAATCCACGGCTAACAGATATTATCCGCTGACGCTGGCACACCGTCCGATGTTTGACTTTGATAACATCTGTAATAGTCTAAATCCACCGCTAGCAGATATTATCCGCTTTGGCCTGTTACGTATTGCAATCAGCCTCATGATTTTTTAAAATGAGTATGCTAGCGAGAGGTTTCCACACTTTGTAAGCAATGTTTCGTTCCTCTCTCCAACCGATGTGGGATCTCACAATCCACCTCTCTTGGGGCCCAGTGTTCTCACTCGCACACCGCCCCATGTCTGACTTTGATTGTAATAGCCCAGATCCACACCTTGTAAGCAATGTTTTGTTCCTCTCTCCAACCGATGTGGGATCTCACAATCCACCTCTCTTGGGGGCCCAGTGTTCTCGCTCACACACCGCCCCATGTCTGACTTTGATTGTGATTGTAACGGCCCAGATCCACACCTTGTAAGCAATGTTTTGTTTCTCTCTCCAACGATGTGGGATCTCACAATCCACCTCTCTTGGTGTCCTAGTGTTCTCGCTCGCACATCGCCTCATGTCTCACTTTGATTGTAACAGCCCAAATCCACCGCTAGCAGATATTGTCCTCTTTAGGCTTTTTCTTTCTGCCTTCCCCTCAAGACTTTAAAACGCTTATGCTAGGGGAAGGTTTCCACACTTTTATAAATGGTAGTTTTTTCTCCTCCCCAACCAATCTGGGACATCACATTGATACCATTTGTAACATCCCAAACCCACCGCTAGCAAATATTGTCTACTTTAACCCGTTACGTATCGTCATAAGCCTCACAGTTTTTTAAAACAAAGATGTTTCCACACCCTTATAAAAAATGCTTCGTTCCCCTCTCCAACCCATGTAAAATCCCACAGTTTTACTATCGAGCTACAGCAAAACAACTACATATTAAAATCAACGAGCTAAAACTAATAAATTACAGTACACCTAACGATCTTAGACCCTACTCGAACTTTCAAAGAACCTACCGCATCATGTAAGAATTTTATATACCAAAACAATGACATAAAACAATACATTTATTCTCTTATTCCTTTTTAGTACATATCTTGAAAATCTTCACCTTTTAAGTCTCTCTTTATTCTATATTGTGAGGGACAAAGAGGAGATTCATGAAAAAAAAATAAAAAATAAAAAATAAATAAAAATTGTAATGATTTTGAAGATGACCTCACGTCAGTGTTAATTCCAAGAAGGAGAGTCGGCCAAACAACCTTTCCTGCCATACTTCAACACTCCAAATGATACTTCCCTTTTTAACATATCATATTATGATCCTACGTAACCTTAGCATACACTAATCATTATTCCACCTCCCTTAAGTTAACAATGATTTTAATCGTTTAATTACGTTTAGACCTTCGATTTTCGTTCATAACATATCAAATTGTTGTTTCAAACGTCGATGATTTAGTGTTTTATCCTTACGATTCTATTTGAACGTACGATTACGAACATATCGATTAGTAATTAATCACAACCATACACTTAATTTGGTTGATATTAATGCTCACCATCCTGATGGCATAATGGTTGGAGTAGCTTCCATGGAAGTGGACGAGGAGTTTGAAGTATTAGCCTTATGGAATGGAAATGGCCACCCTCCGGCGACTGCGCTGTCGCCGGTGCTCGGCTGAGTTGACTGAAGAAATTGGATTTGTCTTTTCAAGAACTTGACATACCTAATGGCTTCATCTAGCATTGAAGCTGTATCCATCTTTGTTCCTCCGGGGACGAGCCTTTGAAGAATTCTGATCTTTTCGCTGATTCTTTCTCGACGAAGACGAGCGGCAATGCTTTGTGGGTCGTCGCTAATTCGAACGTTTCGTCTCTTGGGTTTTCGAATAGTTGATGGGTCGATATCGACTGGCTGCATCGCGGCGATCTTGTACATCATCTCCTTCATAGCACCAAGCTCTTCTTCTGGCTCTTCTTGATCATTACCTGCCCAATTCACTTAAATTACGATTTAACACGAAATCTTGTGTTCGAACTCTTGTAATGTTATTTAAACATACCGTAGCCTGACATCAGGTGGGTGGATGAGGTAGGGAGCGGTTGATGAGGCAACAACAACGACGGCCAAATAGAACTGAGCTCGTGAACATGGTGAAGGTGAACGATGTCGGGATCGTCGAGGGCGGAAAATTGGAGATGGGGAGAGGGGTTTGGGAGGTGATGGGGGTCCATGGAAGAGGGTGATGGGGTGAAGGAAAACTAGGGTATGGGAATTGAAGTTGAAATGATTCTATAAAAGGCCACAAAGAAAGAGGGTTTTTTGTGGTAGAAGAAGTGAAAAAGATGGTTAAGAGAAAGGGATGAAGAAAATGGCAAGAAATTTGGATGGGTAAAGAAGAAAAAGGAGTGATCTAGGGCTAACATTATTTTGTGCCTTTTTATGGAAGATTTTGCCCCTAGTAATCAAAGGCCTTGCCATATTCCTTCATCTTCTGCTACCCCATCTGCTGGGCTTTCTTTTGTCATCACCTTTTAAAGTATCAATTTTTTTAGGTTAACTCCAAATTAGATATGAAGATCATCATGAGATCAAAAGGGTTTTTAGTTTTTGATTCAAGTTCATAAGATCATGAAGAGATCAAAAGGGTTTTTGATTTTTGATTCAAATTCTTAAGATCATCAAGAGATCAAAAGGGTTTTTGGTTTTTTATTCAAATTCATAAGATCATCAAGAGATCAAAAGGGTTTTTGGTTTTTTAATCAAATTCACAAGATCATCAAGAGATCAAAAGGGTTTTTAGTTTTTGATTCAAGTTCATAAGATCATCAAGAGATCAAAAGAGTTTTTGGTTTTTGATTCAAGTTCTTAAGATCATCAAGAGATCAAAAGGGTTTTTAGTTTTAGATTCAAATTCATAAGATCATCAAGAGATCAAAAGGGTTTTTAGTTTTTTATTCAAATTCTTAAGCTCATCAAGAGATCAAAAGGGTTTTTGGTTTTTGATTCAAATTCATAAAATCATCAAGAGATCAAAAGGGTTTATAGTTTTTCGATTCAAAATTTTAAGATCATTGAGAAAAGATTTGAAAAGAGGCATGTTTTTCATACAATTTTGCGCATGCCCTAATGCAATCATTCTAGGGTTTTCAGAGCCTCCATTTTTAGGCACAGCTAGGGTTTTGTAAGCTTTTTTTCATTATCCTCAAACACATACACTATACTACTAGTTCTTATACTTTTTGTAGTGATATGAGTTCTTCATTAGCTTCCAAATGTGTACTTGTTTGATTCGGTTTGACTATTTTTGTAATGCTTCGTGTTCTTGTTGATTAGGGTTTGTGTTCGTTTCGTTCTTGAACAATATGAGGTTTGCTTTAAATCGGGTTACTGAGAAATCATGAGCGTTTGAATTATACGCCATGAATGATTTATGTGTAACATGTTTTCGAAATTTATAGCTAAAAGTTTGGAGAAATTAATGAAATTTATATAAAGCTTTAATAGCCGAACTAAAAAAAGAAACTTTCAAATTCATCACATTTAGAACATATTTATTATCTTGCATGAAATACACAAATTCGCTCATCTTTCTTTTAATAAATAATTTTTCGAAGCAAAGCAATTTATATGGATAAAAAATTTCAACGATAAATTTATTATGTCAGTGTCTAATTATATAATCAGCTAATCAAAATTCGATGAAAATAACAGTTTTAAGATCATGATCCCTGATGTCATAGAGTTTACCATATAATTGCGATCAAAGCGACACTCGATCGCTACGATTGA